CCTTCTCCAGCAGAGCATCTGGTGGGTTCGAACCACTCACCTGTGGGATTGCAGTACAGCTTCTTGCCACTAGGCCACCAGAGCTCACCAACAAATGAAATCTAAACCATTCTGCTGCTCCATCATTGTTAGGAATTTGCACCGGACCCATAGCGGACCCTCCTCCTGGTATTTGGAGGCTGTGAGTCACTGTGTAGAAGAAGATTGTCCATCCTCCTCCCTCGGGGCTGCTGGTAGATTTGAACAGCCAGAGAGGGCAGCTTCCTTTGGAACAGCAGCACAGCTCTCTACTCACTGCGCCATCCGGAGTCTTCAGAAGAACGATGCTATGATAGCTACTTCTTAGTTGTTAGCTCCGTGTGCGCATGGTGGTTATGTGCCGTCTACTTGCCTGTAACTCATGGCGACTCTAAGCCCAGTGGCTCTGAACTCTCTTATCCTGTGCCATCCTCATCATCTCTGACATATGTGGGACATTATTGTAGCCACGGGATCAGTCCGTCTCACTCAGTGTCTTCCTCCCCCTTGCCGAACTTCACCTTTTCAGGCACACTGTCCCTTTCCAAGGAACGGCTCCTTGTAACACTCTGCCCAGAGAATTTGAGACAAAGCTTTACCACCCTTACATCCAAGGAACACTCGAGTTGTCCTTTCTCCAAGACATAAGCACCGTGCTATTACAGGAATCACTGTCTGCTTTCCTCTCATGCTTCTGCTCTCCACGTCTCCACGTATGCAGGAGATGTCCACAGGGAACCGGAGGGTGGGAAGAGGTAGTTCCCCGTTTAGGGCTCCTCCAGTCCAAACGTCTTGTAATTTATCTGAGGGGTTTCTTCTTATCCTGGCAAAGTTTATCTGCCTCTGTAAGCTTACCCTTGTGCCTCTCTCCTTCTCCAGGGGTGAGTCAGCCCTTGGGGCTTATCTCATGCTGTCCTGTAGTTTATTTAGTCTTAATTCACAACATTTAGATAGCATTAAATAAAATAGGGTTATTTTGTTTGTTTATTTACTCAGCATTCTCTCATTGTTACAACATAAATGATGTTCTTTCTTAACTATTTCTATCTTAACCAGAAGCTGAACTGCCCTTCATTTGGTGGGGATTTATTGCATTTTATTACGGAAAATATGCATAGAGTATGCATCACCTGTTTACTTAGCACTCTGGCTAAAAAGTTACTAGAACCATAGAATTTTCCCGTACAGCCTTCATTTCCCCCTGGGGAAATTTCTGTCCTGATTTTGTATCATCATTCTGCTGACAAAATAATAGTTTTTGCCAAGGGATTGATATGTACACATCCTCAAATTTATTCTTTTGACCTGCTTGCTTCTGAACTTCATAAAATATGGAAATATATATATATATATATTTATTAATTCTTTTCTTATTTTTGTGTGTGTGTACCATCAAATCCGATCTGACTGGTACAGGAGGAGATTGCCCCTCCTTCTCCAGCAAAGCATCTAGTGCATTCGAACCGCATACCTCTAGGATTGCAGTGCAACTTATTGCCACTAGGCCACCATAGCTCCATCTGAATTATATATTTTCTTACATGACTGGTTTCTTTAACTAAATCTTATGTTCATTATTCATCTGTGTACACTAGCTTCCCCCGCTTCACCCCCGAACTTAGACTTTTATTATTGGAGATATTTTAGTTGTTTTATTTTTCTTTCTTACTGCTTTTTTACATTTCCAAGCTTTTATTGAAAAGAATTCAGATTAGAAGTGGGATGCAGTTCCTTGGACTGGACAGCCTCCCAAGCAGCTCTCAGGTCCTGCAGCTTTCAGCCGTGAGGCTTCAGGACAGTCCGCGCTGCGTTCTCTGCCTCTTTCTTGTTGGTTGTGAGATTCTCTGTACTCACTAGCTTTTTGTATTCTAGTTGTCCATTACACACTTATGCCGTGGTTTATTTACACTATTTTTGTGTGTGTGATATACAATTGGGTGTTTCCAGTTGATATTATGAATAGTACTGAACAATTTTGTAAATGTTTTTTGGTTTTGGGGTTTGGGTTTTTTTTTTGTTTGTTTTCTTTTTCTTTAAATTAACTTTAATGAAAGTTTACAGAGACTTTGGATTTCCATTCATTCATGTTGCACTTTTCTCCCTACCCACCCCTCCCCTCCAGTTTGTTCTTCTCTTTGAAAAGTAAAAGAAAAACTCTTTCATTGTTACACAATCCCTCCCCCCAGGTCCACTCCACTATGCAGCCTTCATTCTGGACTCCTGTCATGACAAGAATACCCAATCATGTATCGCTTTTAAACAGTTCTCTCCCTCATCTGTTTCAATGCAGTATACCTAATTTATCCCATCTTTCTCAGTTTCACCCCAACCCTGATGTCAGTCCCATTCTACAACAGTGCCCTATGCAGCATTTGTCCTTTTGTGACTGAGATATTTCACTCAGCATAATGTCCTTCAGGGTCACTCATTTTGAATAATATTGCATGAGTTCAATGCAGCATAGTAGTCCATTGTTATTTACACTACTTTTTTGTGTGTGTGATATTCAATTGGGCATTTCCAGTTGGTGTTATGAACAGTGCTAAACACTTTTGTTAAGTGTTTTTCATTGATATTTTTGTCTTTACTCCATTTTATTGCCTCTTTAACAGATACTGTTAGTATTAAGAAGAGCCAGCCTTGTTGAATGAGAGAAGGGAATAAATACATAAAGGCGTCAACAGTAGGCAAGGATCACGTGAGGCCGTCAAGGAGTCCAGCTGACATGTCAGGTGTATTTCTTTCCTGTGGATGTTGTAACAGAATCCCTACAGAGCCATGACCTCTGGGAAGCCACATCCTTGCTTGATGTCCTCTCTCCAGGGCACTTTCTTAGCTGTCCCAGTCGAGATAGTCTGAGAATGTTCCAGATCCTCAAATTCTTCTTTCCACAGAACATTTGGGGGTACTTCAGACAGATTTTGCCACTTTATAACAAGGATTTCTGTTATTCCAATGGCCAGTAACAGAGTTATTCTATGAAGACCCACCAGAGACATAGTTCATGTCCATATTTTGAGCAGCCTTCAATTTGTAATGATACAGTCTCCACAACTCCCCTTATTTCTTTCTGACACCTCAATAGAATTGCCTTTTCTTCTTCTTTTTTTTTTTCTGTAATAAAGTGCACCGTCAAATCGCATCTGACTGGTACAGGAGGAGATTTTCCCTCCATCTCCAGCAGAGCATCTGGTGATTTTGAACCGCACACCTCTGGGATTGCAGTGCAGCTTCTTTCCACTACAGAATTGCCTTTAATGTTTGTAATTCTACCAGGGATATCTTAAAAGCAGTGTACACTTTAAAAAAAATTTTTTATTTTTGTGTGTGTACCGCCAAATTGGATCCGACAGGTACAGGAGGAAACTGTCCCTCCTTCCCCAGCAGAGCATCTGGTGGATAAAAGCAATCTACACTTTGACTGTCAAATATCTTACAGTTCTTCCAGCTGCTACACCTTGACCCAGTTCAAAGGTCTTCTACATTGTTAAGTACTTGTTACACGGTAGTAGCTCTCTTCCCAGTACCAAAATCTGTATTAGTTTCACAGACTTGCTATAACAAGGAATAGTACAGTGGCTGGCTGTAAGGAGCAGAAATTTATTGTGGAGGTCAGTGGTTAGAATTCAGAGTCGGCAGGTGAATTTCTCTTTCTCCAGGGAAAGGCCCTGTCTCGTGTTTCCTGACAGGTTGATGCCTCTCCAGGTGACTGTCTTTCCGCTGTCTCTCTGTTTCTCTTCTCTTTTATAGGACATTATTCAGATGGGATTAGGACCCACCTTCCTGCAGTATGACTTCATGTTAACTGATTCCATCCTCAAAGACCTTATTTCCAAACAAGGTTAAGATTCCAGTGTATCTGTTAGTCAAATTTGTGTCTTCTAGGTTGCAACACCCCCATGATACATCTTCAAGGATATGAACATGTACGGCCAAGCACAATCAATAAGAGTGCATCTAAATTCCAAAATCAATCTCCATAATAGTCTATGTGTTTCCTACTGCCAAAGGGGCCCTTTAGAGTAGTGAGAGAAGATCTTCACCCTGAAACCCACAGCGTCCCTTTTCAGCAGGAAGTAGCTAAGAGAATACGCCATCCCCTTTCCCTTATGACTCAGGGTGAAGTCTCTCTCAGGGAGGAGTGATAGGGAATGGCAAAGGACACACCGACAAAGGAGATTAATCAGAACTGACTTTGACAAGCACTGTGGCAATTGGACAATTAAAACAGACATTCGGATGGCGGGGAAGAAGAACAAACTGGGGAGGAGGGTGGAGAGAATGGTGCGGCAATGAAGGAGTGAAAGCCCAGAATCCCTGTGAATGTTCATTGAAATTAATAAAATTTAATAATAAAAAAAAAGATTCCCGTGTATCTTCTAGGGACGCATTTCAATCCATGACCAGCCTTAGAATGTTTCTAACCATTTCTGTTAAGCATGGTGTTTGCTGTGAATTTTGAATCTAAGACCTTTGCCAATTCAAGGGATTCTCTTCTGTTCCTGGTTTGTGGAGACATTTTTTGAAAAAAATTATTTAGAAGTTTAAAATAAAAATGCACTAGGAGTTGATAAGGGAGCACTGGTGTCCTAGAGGCAAGAAACTGTGCTGCAATCCCAAAGGCATGAAGTTCAAGGACACCAGCTGGTCGTGGGAGAAGAATGGACAGTCTCCTCCCGTGTGATTAACTCCCTTTGAAAACCTGCTGGCGGGTCAGCTATGGGTCAGTTCTGACTCTGTGGTACACAACACACAATAAGAATTGATGGGACAATCACACCAACAACCTCACAGGTACATAATGTGTGACGAGCAAGTATTGGACAGACGCAGGCTTTGGGTCTATCCCTCAATCTGTGTGATATGCAGGAGGCATTAGCTTCTCCATAAACAGGGCCCTGCATCAGAGCATCTCTGGGAGACGTCCATTCTGCCCTGGGAGACTGCCCACAGGCATTTATTTTTACCTTTTTTACTTGCAGTGTCAAAGACAAAGATTTTGGCCACCGGAGGAGCATCTCACAACAGAGACATCTTGCAGGTAAGTCCTGGTCGCAGCCCCTGCACTCTGGACACTTTCCTGTCTGTTATTTCAAGGAACCGGACCTTGAACAGGCAGAGAGGACTGCCAGTTCGTGCTCCTGTGGACGTGAGGAGCTCACACTCTCTCAGGAAGCTGCTGTGTGGCCTTTCAGTTCTCGCTGGAAGCAGCTTCTGTCTTCTGTTCAGGCGACCCCGCTGCCCTGCTTCACTGCACTTTCATACCAGCTCTGCTCTCTGGTGTCACATAGAAAGTGCCCAACCTTTCTGTGTGACAAACCTTCTGATAGCTCATGCCAGCATTCCTGTCTTCCTCAGGATTTCTCCCTTACAATGTAAACATCTCAGAGTCTGCAAGCTAGTCCTTGTACAATTCAATTGCCGGACAATTGTCGTGCCCTCCTGGTCCTGCCCTGTGCTAGAAACAGATGGCCAAACATGGAGTCAACTGTATGTCTGACACTTGAGCTGTCCCATTGTGTGTGTGTGTGTGTGTGTGTGTGTGTGTGTGTGTGTGTGTGTGTACTTACAGAGACACATTTTTGGAAGGTATTTTTAACGGTTTGAGTACCTGCATCAGCTGTTCACTTGTAATGTACCTGTCTAAGATTTCCTGGAAGCAGAGCTTGAAATGGGGACTTCTCAGGGATTTGAAAGAGTGTTCTTAGGAGAATGGAGTGAAGGATTCAGGATAGGTCCATAGAAGAAAATTGAGGAAAGGTCTTGACTGGATTCTGCTCTGGTGCGATGGCTTGGGGAGTTCCAGGAGCACGAATGTGACCACAGACTTGCCATGTGACAAGAGCAGCAGCCGTGGGGAGGAATAAGCATAATCCCCTGTGAAAAGTGACCTCTTCAGCCAAGGCCAGTTCTCTTGAGGAGGGGCGGCTCTGAGCCACTCACAGCCGGTGCTCACAGCAGCTGGACGAGGGACACACACCATTCTGTTGAAGAGAATCCAGCCAGACAGGGCATCCTGGCACTTACACTTCAGGACTTTGTTCAACCAAGACCTCAAGTCTTTTCCAGTTTCATTTCATGCAAGTTGACTTTTAGACCTAAATGGAAAACTTTTCTCTTTATCCCTCTAAATCATCCTCTTTTTAATTTGAGTTTGGGCTTGGTAAGATTAGTCTAATACAACAATTGTAAACAAACAAACAAACAAACAAACAAACCACTGCATAGCGTGGGAAAGACTGGAGACCATTAGTCTGAGTGAACTAACTCAGTCTTATAAGCACAAATACTGCATAAGGCCATTATTGTAAAAATAGAAGGATAACAGTAAGATGTGTGTAAAAATCCAAAAGGGGAAGGAAAGAAAGCAAGGGGGCTGAAGGTGGGAGGGGAGGAAATCATGGGGTCATAGAGTTTGGTGGGTGGAGAGAGATGGTGAAGGAATTAAGTAAGATCCCATG